GCCTCCCAAAGGAGTGGCAAAGCCTCCTTTGCCCTTTATCCCATTGATGCTGAACCCCTATTGTAGAGATTCAACACAGAGCAAAGACACCACTGCAGGTAACAGATAACCACTAAAGAAGACACTATAGACAAATTTGTTCTACTGGAACCACAAAAGTTGATGTCTTCTGCTTTGCTTCCATACCTTAATATAAAGCAAAGCTTCAGTCAATTCACTTGGAAGAAAATGACCAATCATCTATGGGATGCTCATCTGAATGATAAAAGAAACATTCATAATCTTCTGTTTGGTGTTCAATCCAAACACATAACATGTAATAGCTGCTGCAGAGACTTGGGTTGAATATTTTTCTTTTCTTCTTTTTTTTAAATATCTCATCTGAAAACTAGACTACTAAAAAGATAATAAAATACTCTGGAATAGTAAAATCTGCTGTTCTTGACATCCATGAGCAAAAGAGTAATATCCTGTGAAAATAACATAGTGCTTTTAAAAGGTGCATTATACCTGTATAGCTAAACTGGTCTGCCTAGTAAAAAAATTAACTATATACACGCTTGAAAAGCCCAGGAGTTCAAGATTCCAAAAATTTAAAATCCTGGTAAAAGGATTTGGAAAAGGTTAGATTTATGGCAATTACTACAACACGAGAAAGGTGCACCAGGAATCCTTCAACAATTCCATAGGTTAAAGAAGTTTAAGTGCTTGGTTCAGATCAGATCGAGTAACCACAATGGAACACATGCGAAAGCAAGCTGAAGGGAAACTTCACAAGAATCTCCTTTATGGCAAAAAAGGATAAAAACTGTCTCTTGTTTTAAAATAATTAGTAAATAAAAAGTTTGTAATTCTAAAATCTGCATCACAATTTGCATTTTTTTTTGGTTCTTCTCATGGTTATGAACTTCATATTGCTGGAGTCCACTCATTGTTAGTTCATTCCTTTCTAACACCCTTTATGAAGTCTCTTTAGTACCGGTGAGATTGGTGGGACGGATGGTACTGAGAACTCTGCTGAGATGATGTTGAATAGCCCATTGTATTCTGGGACTGAGAAGATCCCTGAATGTTGCTTTGGTAACTCAGGCGTGAACTGGAGTGCTACAAAAAAAGCAAAAAAATAAATGTTTTTATGAAGCAGAACTGTTTTCATAAAAGAGAGGGTGGAGGATGGCCATAAAGAATTATTGCAGCAAGCTCCCTCTCATTTTCTTTAGATGGGTTTAAGTACAGAAATGAGCTGTCATGTCGGTCTTTCCCTGTCTTCCTAACTTCTGCTTTGTCTATGGAATATTTAGCTATTGGTAATAGAGAAAACTTAGGTTGAATAATTAAGTCAGATGCTAATATTATGCTAATATTAATCTATCATATCTTTAATTTTTGAAGCTGGGTTCATAAAACTGGATTTGACAGTGAAGACAAACAAGACACTAGTGAACTTTTCCTTGAAATCTATGTATAACCAGAGCCTCAGATGCACATCTTCTTGCACAGGGAGTCTAATATTTTAACCATACCGTTACTGTTCCCATGCAAACCAGCTAACCAAATCTTTCTAGATTAAGGTGGGACTACATTCTGAACAGCTAACTAACTCTCTGAAGCAAAATCATTGTATAAGGCAGAGATGCATATCCATGTGCTGCCTACATTCCCACAAAGTCGAGGAATGGCCCCCAGATTACCATCCAAAATTTGTTCAAAGTTTAGTGACATCATATATGATGTGTGTTTGCAGCATCAGTAAACAAGCAAGCTTAGCCATGTTTCAAGCATGTTGGTTATGGAGAAAGTTTTCCATTCCATAAAATGCCAATTGGAAAGCATGTTTGATATTAGCATGCTTAAATATAGAAAACAAATTGTCCATGTAACAATTTATATTGAACAAATAAAATAAAGATGGTTTGTCTTTCTCTTAAAGCCACCCAAAGAGGAAAGTACCAAGATAAAGATAATGAAAACAACCAGGGGAATGAAGAACAGGATTCATAAAATTCAATGCACAATATAAAGAAACAGCTTGATGACAGAACTTGATAGACCTGAATATATGTACTGATACTTCTGTATTAATTTTCTAGAAACCATTTAATGAAAATACATGCACATATACACACATACTATTATTTGTGACAGCTAATATATTTTAATTTTGTGAAAAGAATGTATCATATGACTGTTGTTGCAGTTACCATGGCCAGATGAAGTCATAAACATGCTAGAGATAATACACAGAGCCCAGTGGAACAGACACTAAAGAGTCACAAGAGAATATTATTCCTTGTAACTGCAGAGATGATTACCATCAACATGTAACGACCAGACTCCTGCACTCAATATTATGAATTACTTTCCATAAGCATTATATTTCAATGTATTTGATAATAACAATACAACACATTTCCAGTCATTATGCTCCATTGTAGTTAA